CTCCTCTACCTCCTACGCCCGGACCGCCACTCCTATCCTGGAAAAATGGGCGTCTGTAACGTCAATCTCCTCCTCATCAACCTCACTCTCTGCGTCGACCCAGTCAGGCTCCCACAGCTCCTCGTCGTCCTCTCGATCCCAACCCTCGTCGTCAAACTCGTCCTCGACGCGGTATGGCGCCTGTCCTATGGCCTGGTAGTATTCCGTCAACTGATGGCCGTATATCAGAGGTCGCCCGGCGTCCTCACTCCACCAGCTCCCCCAGTCGTCTTAGAAGAGCCGCCCGATGCAAGTCACGTACTCGGGGCCTGCACGGAGCTCACGGTCTAGCCAATCCCAAACGCACGAAGACTGGGGCCACTCGTCGTCTATCGAGCGGATCAGCTCTATAAGCTGAACCCTCTCGTCTCCCCAACGAGGCCCACCGGTCGCAAGCGAATAATAGATGTAGTCTAGGTCGCCAGGCCTTCTCGCCAGGATCTTGAGATCCTGATAGGCCAGCTATGTCTCGACCACTCCACCAATACCTTCAAAGACGCTCTCTACAACGAACGTCGGAACTATCGCCCGCAGGCTCCTAACGCTGTACGGGAAAAACCCGTCCCGTGCTACTACGAGCTCGCCCGTGATATCAAGAGGAGGGCGTCCGTGAAATAGGGTCAACGGGTCGCTCGCGTCCTCCGCTCGGAAAGCCGCTACCTCTTCCCCTAGGTAGCGTAACGCCCTGCTAATTGCGTCACTAGTCCCTGTCGTCGCGAGGCCTACCACGGCCTCCTTGACCGCACCCGATCCCAAATACAAGTAGGCTCTCACTACGCCCACTCCTTGCCCCGGCCGGTGCTCTCTGTACGTCCAAAGCCACACGTCCTCGGACAGGATTATGGACCTCCACGCAAACTGACCGTCAGCGTGTCGAATGCTGCGTCCGGGGATCGTGAGCTCGACCAGATCCCCCTCTATGAGTTAAGGGGGCTCCAAGCCTCAGTCAATGGTAGCCTCATAGACCTCTTCTTGCACCCTCGGCCACATTCAACTAGCGGCTAGAGAGAACGCAGCAAGAGGGAGGTGTAGATTAATAACTGAAAATCCCCGTCGCTTGCCTCACGCCTTCGGGAACAAGCTAGTAGGTTAACCCGAAACCAGGTTACCGCAGCGTCTCTTTCCCTTCTTCTAGGGAATTCTTTTGTATTTTTCAGTTATAAATTAAAAAAATATATATTTGGTTAAGATAAAATTCCTTTCTCAGTTTATCTATATTAAGGATCAATACATATATAATCCCGCCGAGTTTGATGCTTTTTAGGGGTAGAAATAAAATCAAGGGAATTTACTAAAATTTCGGCAGTGTTTCGCCTCCCCCCTTTGGGATGGGGTTCGGGACTATTGTCCCTAGACAAATGCTACCTACCCAGAACTAAAGGCAGATGAAACAAGAGGAAGGCCGCTGAAAGAAACAAATTTCTAACGTATTTTTAATTAATTTTCTTAATCGCTTTTAATATATATATATATATATATATATATATAAAAGAAAATTAATAATTTAAATCAGGAAATTTTGCGAAGTTTCGGCATTTTCGCTCCCCCCCGTTGGGGTAGGGTTTGGCCGAAGACCTCAAAATGCGGTAGATTAAGAACTGAAAAAGTATCTCAATTTTTAACTAATTTTCAAGTATTTTTTTTAATTATTTAAGATTTAATTGAATAAATTTCAGCAAATTGCCGAGTAATTTCGGCAGCACTTGGCTTCCCCCCCGTTGGGATGGGGTTAAGCGAAGTATCTCCCGAATCACAAAGTCGAAATAAAGTCGACTCTCCTTTCTTATAGAATTTTAGATAATTATTTTGATTTTTAATTGATTTTAAATGACAAATTATTACTTGAAACAAATTTTTAACTTCAAATTATTTAATAAAACAAAATTCCCAATATTGATTAATTTCAATTTGGTCAACTGGATTTATACAAAATTTTCCCACCACCGGTCGGATAGAAAGACTTGTATCCGCCCGGCTACGCACCGCCCTTCCCTAACTTAGGGTTAGGGTTTTACCCTAATTAGGGTTTCCCCCAATTAGGGTTTTAGGGCTTTGCGCGCCACCGCACGCCACCATGTCCAACTTTTCGAGGCATAAAATTTTCCGTCGGTTTGTAGTCAGTCAAAAGCCGGGTTCCCTCGGATCACTTTTACCGCAGACTTCTGTTTTCGTTTTATTTTTTTATAAAAATACAAAAAAAATCACTAATTCCTTTTAATTTTCCCATCTTTTCCTGTCTGTTGGCGGTCACCACTCGTCCAAACGGAGTCCGTTTTCCCCGACTAAGGTCTCAAAATGTCGGGAAAAATACAAGGACCAACTTTGGTCAAGGCGGGGTTCACCTAATTTCGCTCCCTTTCTTCGTAATTAAAATAAAAGGAAATTCATAATTTTCAGAATTTTAATTAGAAAAATACAAAAAATTATACATCTCCTTTTCTAGCCATTAAAATTTTTCAAAAAATATCTCAAAACGTTCTCCTCGGCGAGAGGTCGAACTTTGCTCCCCGTGCGCCTCGCGCGAAAACGTGCGGATCGGGAGATATAAAAAAAAACGAATTGTAAATTTGAACTCATGATTTTTGGTATTTTTAATTAGAAAATACAAAAAATTTCATATCTCTTTTTCTAGCCGTTAAAATTTAAAAAACAACGTCTCAAAACGTTCGCCTTGACGAGGAGACTAACTTTGCTCCCCGCGCGCCTCGCGCGAAAACGCGCGGATCAGGAGATAATGGAAAAAAATAAAATACAAAATTAAAAAAAAAAAAAAAAAAATCAACTGACCAACTTTTTAAAAGCTAATTAGTTTCCCTTTCGCACCCCCGTTGATTGGGGAAGGCCGTGGCCTTGGGGGTGCAGTCCCCTCCCCGGCAACGGCGCCAAAAGTTGTGAGGAAACCCGGGGAGGGGCGTCCACTTGTCGCTGAAGCCAAGGGCAACGGCGCCTGTCACTCGCCTTGCCCGCTTCCGAGGTCCTCAGCGACCAGCAGGAGAGCCTTTCGTGTGTTGTCTGTCACCCGTCTTGTCCTAAACAAATTACATTGTTTAGTTCAAATGCTCTTTCCTTCAAGATATCTTAGAATCCACGTGAAATCTGATCAGGAGTGCTTTACTCTCGTGCTTCAGGGCAGTCCCTTAAAAGAGAGGAACANTTCTTCTTCTTCTTCTTCTTCTTCTTCTTCTCCTCCTCCTCCTCCTCCTCCTCCTCTTCGTCTTCTTCTTCATCGATTGATTCGATTCCTCCTCGTCGTCTTCTCCTCCTCCTCCCTTCGTCATCATCTTCTTCTTCTTCTTCCTCTCCTCCTCCTCCTCGTCTTCTTCTTCTTCTCCTCCTCCTCTTCATCTTCTTCTTCATCGCTTCCTCCTCGTTGTCTTCTCCTACTCCTCCCTTCGTCATCATCTTCTTCTTCTTCGTCTTCTCCCCCTCCTCCTCGTCTTTTTCTTCTTCTCCTCCTCCTCCTCCTCCTCCTCTTCTTCTTCTTCTTCTCCCCCTCCTCCTCCTCCTCCTCTTCTTCTTCTTCTCGCCTCTTCATCCTCCAATTTTTTTTAATTTATTTTTTTACATATTTTCGTTTCTCACACCCGTGAACCCCGTTCGTGAATGCGCAGGACCGCAGCTGCCACGGCCGCTAGAGGATGTGCAGCTGCCACGTGAGTTGCTGCCACGTCAGCAGGTGACACAGCATCCACCACGTCAGCAGCCGCCACGTCAGCACACAGGCCCACCAGTCGCCACGTTAGGAACTGCCACGTCAGCAGGAACTGCCATGTCAGCAGGTGCCACGTAAGCTGGAGGATGTGCAGCTGCCACGGCCGCTGGAGGATGTGCAGCTGCCACGTGGGCTGCTGCCACGTCAGCAGGTGACACAGCATCCGCCACGTCAGCAGACAGGCCCACCAGTCGCCACGTTAGGAACTGCCACGTGAGCAGGTTCCACGTAAGCTGGAGGATG